ATATATATATATATTTTTTTTTTTTTTTTTTGCCAAAATGCAGGAAGGTATTGTGATTAGGTTGACCTGAGCTTTAACAATAAAATGTTAAGCCAAAAGTGGGGGAAGGGATTCACTCATTCATTTAACAAATATTTACTAAGCTCCTACATCAAGTCAGGCCATGTTCCCAGGACAGTAAATGGAGCCCTGGGCCTCACACATACTGCACAAGCTCTCTACTTCTGAACTACATCTGCAGCCTCTTGGATCTTTTATTTAGAGACAGAATCCCACTGAGTTGCCCTGGAAGTGTTTTGAAGCACACCTGACACCGATACCTCATTTTTGAGACTAGGCTTCACTAGCTCTGGCTGGCTGGCCTGAAACTCAGACATCCATCTACCTCTGCCTCCCAAGTGCTGGGATTAAAGTAAAGTCCTGAACCACCAAGGTCAACTCACACTTAAGCTGCTTCCTAAAAAGCAGATGCCACCATCAATGTTGGTGGGGGCTCTCCCATGTACAAGATATGCCTGACACTATCTTAAAAACAGAGCTAGAGAAAAATGTACACAAAATCTCTGCAGGTAGCTTCTTAGGATGCTAACCAATGTGTGCTTTTCAGGTTTCTCCATTTTCCTTCATTTACACTTGGAACATTTATTTCTCATGAGCATCCTGAACAAAGATTAAAGGTGGTAGACAGGATACTAGAGACAGCAAAATCTGGTTCTGTCACTGAGCTGTAAACTTGGAGTAAAGATGAAAGCTAAATTTTCTTTTTAAAATGTTTTTATAATTTATTTAAATTTATTTTATGTGTATTTGTGTGAAGGTGTTAGATCCCTTGGAACTTTAAGTTACAGACAGTTATGAGCTACTATGTAGGTGATGTGAATTGAACCTGGGTCTTCTGGAAGAGTAGCCAGTGTCCTTAACCACTGAGCCATCTCTCCAGCCCCCGAAAACTAAATTTTCTAATGATTTTTTTCATATTTCACACTTATAAGAAAATTATAATAAAGAAAAAAATAGAGCTGATGGCTTAGTAACCTGTCATTGTCTTCCAATAAGGAACAATAATAGAAAGCCAATCTAATGACCCTAATGTGACAAACTCTTGTCATTTCAACAGTGACCACAATGTCAACCAGCTGGGGCTGGGAAGATGGCTCAGCATGTCACCATGAAGATCATGACCATCAGTAGCCACATAAAAAAATACCCTGCTGGGTAGTGACAGCACAAATTTTAATCCCAGAGGCAGAAGCAGAGGCAGACCCACAAACAAATAAGCCTGCCATTCAAGGAGGCAGCGACAGGAGGATCTCTGTGAGTTTGAGTCCAGTTTATCTACGCGTGAGCTCCATGTTAGCTAGGGCTACAATAGTTAGACCCTGTCTCAAACAAAACAAAACAAAACAAAAACAAAAAATAAAATAAGTAAATAAAATTGTTTTTTCGAGACAGGGTTTCTCTGTGGCTTTGGAAGCTGCCCTGGAACTAGCTCTTGTAGACCAGGCTGGCCTTGAACTCACAGAGATCCGCCTGCCTCTGCTTCCTGAATGCTGGGATTAAAGGCATGTGCCACCACCACCGCCACCGCCGATGCGCCAAGTAAATAAATTTTAAGTTCATCATTTACACTTTGTTTTGTCTTCTCTTCTACCCTAGGGACAGGGGCAGTGCGCAGGGCTTCATATATGCTATGTAAACTCTGTACCACTGAGCTTTATTTCCATCCTTTCTGTGTTATAAATGTTCTAAAATCACTCTAAACTGCCCAGGCAGGCCTTGAACTTTCCAGATCCTCCAGTCTCAGACTCCCACTAGCTGGGATTATAGACCTGAACCAGCAGACCTGGTTGATTGCACTCCTTTGATACAAAAATACATGGCCTAACATACACCTACAGGAATCTAACAAAGTTATAAACTATGACTTTTGCATTAACTTTTATAACATCCGGACATCTTACAGTTTTTCAAAGCTCACCTAGGCTATGAAAGCTTTTCTGCCATAAGGGAGTTTTTAGGAGAAGAAAAGTGTTGGACTCCTTAACAAAGCAGGATGTGGCTTAAGAGTGGGTTTGTTATGTAAAATGAGTGTTTGTAGCCAGAAGGTTGTAGGGCCTTGATGGACTTTTACTAAAATCCAAAGACTGTATAAGATCTGTTAAGATCAGTGCCGGTCTATGAGAGCTGCAGCCACCTGCCACCACCAATCACTCATGGCCTCCCAAACTGTGCCACTCCATCTAGAAGCATCATTCTGCCAAGAGAGACTTTAGCACCCCATCATTACCTCATTACACATGAGCGAGGTCTCAAAGCCACCATGTAAGGAAAGCCCTTAATCAGAGCCTCAGCCTGGCTGCCAGGCACACTGTATATCGCCAAGCCTCTGACCACCAGACACAGACGGCTTTTTTATCACCATCCCCTTCATTCCTCTGGGCTTGCTTTCTTTCCTTCCTTCCTCCCTCCCTTCCTTTCTTTCTGTCTTTTCCTTTCTTTTTCTCTTTTCCTTGAAAACTGCTAAAAAATAATAATACTTTAAAAATTAGAGGGCTGGAGAGCTGGCTCAGTCATTAAAAGCACTGGCTGCTCTTCCAGAGGTCTTGAGTTCAATTCCCAAAAACCATATGGTAGCTCACAACTATCTATAGTGGGATCTGATGACCTCTTCTGGCATAAAGGCATACATGCAGATAGCTCACTCATATACAGTAAATAAATAAATAAACCTTCTTTTCAAAAAGTAAGATAACTGATAGTGGACATTTTGGTCTTAAAATACAAATTTTGCACCAATTTTTCTTGATAGTGTCATAACATGCTCACCCATTCCCTCCAGTAAACTATAAGCCACCCAAAGGCAAAGGCCTGTACTCAGCAAGCCTTAAAAAAGGAACACAAGGCAGTGGTGGCACATGCCTTTAATCTCAGCACATGGGAGGCAGAGGCAGGTGGATCTCTATGAGTTTGAGGCCAGCCTGGTCTACAGAACTAGTTTCAGGACAGCTTCCAAAACCTGTCTCAAAAAACAAACAAACAAAAAAAACACTTTTTTTCATTGTCATATACTTCATATGTAATATGGTTGGCAAATTTGTTATTGGCCATAAGTGAATGCATAAGTTTACCAAGTAAAATAAATCTAAACATTTCCTATCTCTTGCTATTAACAATATTTCCCAAGGGTTCTTTTTTCTCTCCACTGGGTTCAACCCCCAGGACCTCACACTCTCCAGGCAAGTATTTTATTAGAGACACATCCTCAGTCAGGTTCTTGCCATGTAGTCCCAGCAGCTGGTCTGGGACTCACTGAATTCCAGACTGGATACAAACTCACAGCCTCCCCAATGTTGGGATTTCAGGGGTGAGCTGCTGCCACAGCTGCTCCAGTCTTTGACTTCCTGTCTACCACTCCCAAAAGACAGGCAGGAAGGGCAGCCATGCCGTCAGGTCTTCATCCCCCCAGCCCTCTAGATCACCCTGCCACAGTCACTGGCATATCTATGAAATGTCTACCTCCCTAAGTCACTCGGGAACCATGTGTGTTCTCGTTCCTAACCCCATCCTGCTGTTTGAATAAGTGAGAGGAAGCACATGCCCAGTCTTCCATTCTGCTACTGACCATGACTTTTGATGTACCTCCACAACAGATAACAAAAACAAAAAACAACAAAAACCCCAAAATAAACACAAAAAAACAACCCCCCCCAAAAAAAAACAAAATTGAAGGAAATGAAAATAAGAAAAGAAATCAGCATTCAAAGGCTTACAGTTTTGTCAAACTCAGGTTTGTACAAGTGCTTCAATCTATGTGTTAATTTTTTCAACATAGGTATTTACATTCGTCACCTGACATTTTGACAGCTGAATGAATGGGAATTCCTTTGACAGAGGATGTTTATAAAATGAGTTCTGATTTAAGAGCCAGTGCTCCCAGGATTCTTGTATTAACAGGATACTTTAGTCTAAGAAATGGTAATGTAAAAACAATTAAAGCAAAAGAAAAAAATTAGGGATGCACTGCATCCCTAATTGCCCTAACCTTGTTTTATTTTGACATGACATTTCTTGGTCTCATCTTGAACGACAACACTACCCCACACTTTCTCCTCCACACCCTTCACAAATGGAATTCAGAAAGGTAGTCAGCGGGCACTTTGGAATCCATCACTGATCTTGGGCACATTTCCGCGCAATAACCGTCCCCACCTTCACCCAGGCCACTGCACGGCCAGCCTATGCCCAGCCTTTCCCTGGTGCTCGAGTCCAGAGGAAGGCAGGGCAACAGGCCCTGTCCCTCTGCCAACAGCCTCTTTCCCCAGAGATGGCCTGAGGGTTGCCCTGGCGTCCTCTGACCGCCCTCGGTGGGACCGTTTCCAGACACCAATCTGTTCAATAATCCACCTGCACCCCAAAACGAAGGATCCTGGGAGGCCAACCTCTCTTGAAACCGTTTCCTCTGGGCCGCAGGAGAGAAACAGGTCCCTAGCAACCCGCCCTTCTTGGTACAGTATGGTCTCCCCTACTGCCGACCTCCTGCGGACCAAACGCCGCAGCCCCCCTCAAATTCGGGATCTGAGCTGTCCCTAAAGAATTACAAGTGCGCCCCAACAGCCCTGGGGCTAAAGTCCTCACTTCCAGAAAGAAAACCTCACCTCTCGCTCGCGTCACCCCCAAACCCAAGACTCGAAACCCCGCGCCTGCCAGGCCGCCCCGCCCCCCGGGAGCAGCGCGGGATACGCCCGCACCCCGGAGCATAGACCTGCCCCAGAGCTCCGGCCAGGGGCGCGCGCAATTACGCAGCCCAGCACGGCGCGGGCCCCACGCCCCCGGGGGTCGCCCCCGGGTTGCCGCTCGGGGCTCCGGGACCCAGTCCTGCGCCATCTCCAGGCCGCCGGGACCACCCGATCCGAGTTCCCTCCTCGCTGGGCGACGACGCACGCCGAGGCCCCTCGCCGCGCCTCCCGCCCAGGCCGCCCGCGGCCCGGCCCCTCACTCACCCAGAGCTCGGTGCCCCAGCTCATGGTGCAGGGACCGGGAAGGGGCCCCCGACCTCCTTCGCCGGTGATCCCTGAGTCCCTCCGGACGCTGCGACTGCGGAAAGCACGCCGCCCGCCGTTTCCTCTGGCCCGCGCCTCCTCTAGCCCTAGCTCTCCACCTCTCGTCTCTTCGCGCGGAGCAAAATGGCCCGAGGAAGCAGCAGCAGCGACCGCCGCAGCGCGCCCGCCCCGCACCGGAGCCGAGGGGCGGGGTGGGGCGGGACGAAAGGCGGGGCGGGGCGGGGCCGGATTGACAGCTCGCGCGTACCGTCCCGCCCCCAGGCTCCCTTTGGACCAGTTTCCTGGGGGTCCAGAATGATGGGTGTCCCTCGGGACCTCTCCAAGTCGTCGGTATTCGGCAGCCAGCGTGTCCTATGCTCTCGAGACCCGTGTTCTCACTGCCTGCAGACTGTCCAGCTCGTGATCACGATGCTCCATCGCTGTCTGTCCTCCACCACCACCACCACCCCACCCCTACAACCCCGCTCCCAGCACAGCTTTGCATTTCAGAACTTTGGCCAGGCGGCCACCGCCACCCACTTCAGAGGTTACCGGAGAGGCTTCTGCCACCATCCAGCCACCGCGGAGGCCCAAGGAGCTCGTGGGAGTGGGGCCTGGAAACGTGACGTCGTCGGGCACTGTGTACACAGAGGCATTGAGACCAATAGAGACCGAGCAGATCCGGAAAGCCAGAGAAGGAACTCAGGGATGAGCGCCCAAAGAATTATAATCTGTGGAACAAGCTCTTTCCTACTTGTTCAGCTAAGAATCTCAGCAGTGAAGTCATGTTGCCCCGCTGAAGGAAGGCAGACTCCATAGGGCCCACCGAGAACTTAGAGGATTCAAATCCAGCCTCCGATCTCATTGACTGGGTGGTCTTGGATAGATTTCACCTCTAGTAGAATTCCAGCTGCCAAAGGGAGGCAGTGTCTGCCAGTCCAGCACTAGTGGTGTGAACCAAGAAGGTGAACTGGCCAGTGGGTGGCGGCTGGTGCAGAATGGGGACCATCTCATTAACTCTTCCAAAGCTCCACAGAAAGTCATTTCTCACAGGCTCTGGGAATCTGGGGGCTTCCAACTGTTTCCTCAGAATCCCTCAGACTATCTCCACAGCTTTATATTTTCTCTCTCTCTCTCTGAATGTTGCTGCTAAGACCTTTCCTCCAGAACCATGACATCTGGAAGAGTTAGAAACTTCTGAACAGTTTCTCTACTCCCTGCTCTATTTGTCTGTTCATCTTCCTCCAAGGAATTAATTCTCCTAGAAGGGAGAATCTCAGCCCAGTGTGTGGTGACCTATAATTGTAGTCTCTGCACTCCTGAGGCAGAGGCAGGAAGAGGTCAGCCTGAGCCACATAGTACCAAGCAGGCTGACCTGGATGTCAAAGTGAAAACTTGACTAAAAGGAAAGAAAAGAAAAATAATAATAAACGATAGTGGTATGATGTGAGGCAGAGTCAGGCGGATCTCTTCCATGCCAAAGGCTATATAGTGAGACTCTGTCTCAGAAAGCACACACACACACACACACACACACACACACACACACACACACAAGCACAAAATAATAGTTTAAAAAGTAAAAGAAAAGAAAGAAAAAGGAAGGAGGGGTGGAGCTAAGAACCTTGCCTCCTCAAGCCTCAGCACCTCCTACTTCCTTTGCTGGGTAGTTACATTGAAACTACTAACACTGTTTTGGGCTCTGTTGTCAGTTACAAGCCCCTCCCCCCATCCTTTGTGTCTGTTGAAATATTTTGCTCCCACATTACCACTCTTTACTCCCTAGACTTCTGGATATGTAAGAGTCAAGATGACCAGCAGCCACCTCCCTACCAAAGACAATTAATGGCTAGGGTGAGATAGAGGACTGGAAAATGTAAATAATGTTAATTAACAATCCCACTGGGTTTCGGTTTTTTTTTTTTTTTTTTTTTTTTTTTTTTTTTTTTTTTAATGTGTGCTGGTGTTTTGTCTGCATGTATACCAGTGTACCATATTCATGTCTGGTGCCCTTAGAGGAGGGTGTTGGATCCCTTGGAACTGAACTGCAGATAGGTTGTGAGCACCACATGGGTATTGAGAATCAAAGCCATGCCATCTCCCCAGCCCCAACAACAAACACCACAGGGTTTTTTATTTGCTCAAAGTTGGAAATGAATGGCACCTTGCCTGTGACATCATCATCATCACCTTTGCCTCTCTGCTTGTTTGCTATTTTCTTTTCAGTCCAGAAAAATGATCTAATCTTGATTTCAGAAAACTAGAATGCCCACTTGCAAAAAATAGTCTAGCCAGGAGGTAAAGCAACCTGTGCCCTAAAGAGAAACAGGAGGAAGGAACTATGGAAGAGACAGACGCCTGAAAAGGAAATTTTTTAAGTAAGCAGAAATTGTTATGGAACCTTTGAAAGCCACAGGAGGTGCAGGAGCCAAGTTAACTTGACACACTGAAAGTGTCTTTCACTTTGTTAAGTCTGGATGGCAACTGGAAGATGCTTTGAGTTAAAAGCTTCAGAAAGTGAAAGAGAAATGCAGTATTGATCTTTTAGCAGGGTCTCATCCCATGCAAATGCTAGGCTTACCATAGCTGCACACCTGCTCCTCCTTGATTCTCAGAGTTGTGGTCTTAGCCTTTGAATGATGTAATGGCATGAAAGAGGTTAACTCTAAAGGAAGGCATCTGAACAAGCACAGTGCAGACCCTACCTGCATAAGCTTCTGGCTGATTAGTTTGCTTTCTTTTTAAAGTTTATTATACTTATATATTTACTTAGTATGTGTGCATATGAGTATGTGTGGGCATGAACATACGGCACACATGTAGAGGTCAGAGAACAATTTGTGGGAGTTTTCTCCTTCCACCATGTGGTTCCCAGGGATTGATTTCAGATCATCGGGCTTGATAGCAGGTGCCTTTCCTGGCTCAGCCATCTTTTGAGCCCTTATTTTCTGAGACAAGATTTTATGGCCCAGAACTCTGACGGATGATCCTCCTGCTTAGTCAGCACTTAGTCAGAGGCAAATCGATCAGGGCTTTATATAGTTCTCACCCTGTGTGGAGTTAATGAACATCTCACCCAGGGTTTATAGGTAGGTCCCTGTTCAGTGGCAGATGGATGAGGGGTTCTAAAGCAGATGGGGTTTTATCATTGTTGGGGATTCCAGTGTCTAGTCCTTATGAAAGGTGTGTGATCTCTAACAACTCACACCATCTGAGCTTGTTTCCTCATTCACAAAGAAGGGGCTTCGAAGATGCCCAGGAGGCTGAAATGCCGGGCGAGCACATGCTTTAGTGCAGTTCACTGCAGAGCTCAGAATGGGCAGCTGCAGAGCTTCCCTTCTTCAAACCTCAGTTTCCTCTTACAATGGAACAATGACCTCATGGCTTCTTCAAATACTAAAAGTGAATATCTGCAAAGTTCTTAGCAAAGAGGGCACAAACACAAGTTTCCTTTCCTCCTGTGTGCCACAGCAAAGAAGCAATGTCTTACAATTTGCGGCTATAGCTAGATCCCTGGGCCTCAATGCAGGGTAGGATGACTGGCTGTCTATCCCTAGAGTTTCCTAATGACATCCCCAAAAATGATTTCTATCTGAGTTTAGCTTAAAATTTCCCATAGCTTGCAGGGCATTGGTGGTGCACACCTTTAGTCCCAGCACTCAGGAGGCAGAGGCAGGGAGATCTCTCTGAGTTCGAGGCCAGCCTGGCCTACAGAGCTAGTTCCACGACAGGCTTCAAAGCAATATAGAGAAACCCTGTCTCAAAAAACAAAAACAAATAAACAAATTTCCCATAGCTTAACTTACAATGGAGTTAAGCCTTAATATACTCCCTTATTTTATTTTGTTTTTTAATTTTGTTCATCTCTGATTGGTATGGAACTCTGTAGACCAGGCTAGTCTTGAAATCAGAGATCTTCCCTGCCTCTGCCTCTTGAGTGCTGAGGGGGGTATGCCATCAAGCCTGGCTTACTGTTTTTTTTTTGTTTGTTTGTTTGTTTGTTTTTTAAGACAGGGTCTCATGTAGTTCAGGCCGACCTCAAACTCACTATGTAGCTAAGACTGATTTTGAAATGACTTGAGTCCAAAAGAATGCTCTTAATCTTCCAGGAATCCCATACTGTTGGTTGAGCCATGGTAAACTAAGAACTGGCTGTACATCCTCAGGACCCCAGGAAGCAGCCAAGTGGAAGAACTAGGAACAGGAAGGATAAAACTAAGAACTTCCTAGTGAGTGCAATCTTGAAACTATAACTAGATTTTAATGCACAACGGCTGAGTGTCCTCTGATTGAAAGTGATTCTCAGGTTCATTTCCATCACACCTTCAGCCCTCCAAAGGAGTGCTGGAACCACTGAACTGACATCTTCCCAATGGCCAAACCAAAAGGATGCTTTCAAGGGTTTCTTTGGTGTCCTAGGAGATGCCTGACATGCTCCACTGCAATCTGGAAGACATGGCCAATGGATGTTACTAGGCCCCAAGAAGCCTCTGGTTCCTTACAGTGTTTGCTTTGAGGCCTGAAAGAACTCTTCTGAAAGACAGGAAGACCTGTGGCACAGCTCAGCAGGTAAAAGAGTTGCTGCCAAACCTGCCCACTTGAGCCTTATCCCACATGTGACTCACATGCTAGAAAGAGAATAGACTTTTGAAGTCCTCCTCTGACCTCCATACATTCTCCATGGCATGTACATACATTAAATAAATGTAATGAAAGCTTTGGTAAAAGGAAAACCAAACAGGAGTTATGTCTTATTTTCTTCAATGGCCCAAACCCAGGCTAAACATTATTAATAGCACTGTATTCAAACTACATGTTTGAATTTGTTTGAATTTAAATACCAGTTTCCTACCAGGGCAACCTTGAACTGATCCTGCAAACCGAAGAGCAAGGCTCAAAGCCAGGGTTTAGAAGCTCTGCCCTTCTTGACCTCAGGCTTTCCCAGTTAGTGCCTTGGTTTAATGGCCCCTGGAAGGAGCTGCCAGGGATAAGCAGGCAAAACTTGTTTTGTTACTCAACAAGATGTGCAGGTTGCAGCATCCTCATTACACAAATGACTTTTGCTGGAAACTAGAAAGTCACATGTTATACCTTTCTGGGCCCCAGCATTGGAAGAGCATCCCACACTGATTCCTTGTAACAGCTTTTCTAAGACTCTGTAAGGGGTGCTCCATGCCCCTTCCTCTGGATTTCAAAATAACCACAGGGTTCCCAAACACACAAAGGCAGACATCCTCACAAACCACTGACCAGATCTGATTGGTGTGGTCTTGTGGAGGTTTTGTCATAATTCCCAGGCTTAAAAATAAAGGAATCATAAGATTGAATTTTAAGGTCTGAAAAATTTTTACCATAACAAGACAAAATTCTTCTTTGGAATAGATATTTTGCTACCACGAAGAGGAAATGAGGATACCCCGACATTCCCTTTTAGTATTAAGTCAAATTTAAAGATGTATCTTCTAAAAAGTGGTATTGAACTTTATTATTTATTGGTCTTTATTGTTTTTACACATGTATGTATATGTGTATATGGCCCCATGGAGGCCAGAGACATCATATCCTCTGGAGCTGGAGTGACAGGTGGTTGTGAGCTTCCAGATGTGGGTGCTAGGAATTGAACTTGGGTCCTCTGGATAAGTAGCAAGTGTCCTTACCACTGAGTCATTTTTCCAGCCCCACCTTATTAGTATTATTTTGTGACAGGACAGGGTCTCACTATGCAGCTCTGACTGTCCTGGAACTTACTATGTAGACCAGTCTAGCCTTGAACCCACAAAGATCTATCTGCCTTTGCTTCTGCCTCCTGGGTGCAAGTGCTAGAATTAAAGGCATGTGCCATCATGCCTGGCTTTTATTATTATTATATTTATATGTATGTTTATCTGCATATATGTATGTGCATCAGATGCCCATGGAGACCAGGAGAGGGCACTGGATACCCTGGAACTCATGTTATAGGTGGTTGTTAGTCATCACTTGGTTCTAAGAAACAAACTCCAGTCCTCTACAAGATCAGTAAGTGCTCTTAAGTGCTGAGCTATTTCTCTCTAGCCAAGATTATTATTATCAATTAGGCACTGGTCTTTAAAAAGTGACAATAGGATGGGAAAATAGTTCAGTAGATGAGGGCTTGTCTAGCATGCAGGAAGGCTTGGTTCAGTCCTCAGCACTATAACATCAAAAAGGAAAAACTCACTTAAAAAATTCATCTTCTGTTTACTAAGCTTTTTTTTTTTAAAGTAAAAAAAAAATCACTTAAGTAGGGGCTGGAGAAATGGTTCAATAATTAAGAGCATTCACCCAGTTTTAACTCTCAGCCCCCAAATGGTGGTCAATAACCATCTGTAACTCCACCTTCAGATGCTTTCTTGTGGCCTCTGCAGGCTCCTGCATGCATATGGCATGTATACACATACACTCAGGCACACACACAAATGCATAAATAAATATTTAATTTTTCCCTTAGCTGTCTTTAGCCTTTCATCTTGCTTTCCAAAACTCAGTATCAGAGTTTGCACATTCTTACTTTTTTTTTCATGATTTTTGAATGCTCTGGCATAGAGGACTGAACCTAAGGCCTCATTCTTGCACATGATAGGCTACTAAGCTACATCCCCAACAGGTGACTTTTACCTCAGACTTCCCATCCTGGGGTCATAGCTATGTTACCATGCCAGCTTGATATCTTTTTTAAACTACAAAACTCAGAAAGCTGAAGCTGGAAAGGCAGCTCAGCATTAAGTGTGTGTACTGCTCTTGTGGAGGGTCTCAGTTTGGTTCCAGCACCCGTGTAATGGGGCTCACTACCTCCTTTCAGATCCAGGGGTTCTGAAACCCTCTTTTGACCTCCAGGAAACCTACATTCACATGTAACCTCCCACCCAACCACATACACAAAATAAAATAGAATAGTAACTCAGTTTTTTAAAAGCCCAGATCCACTTCTATAGTAATTCAAGTTTCAGTCCTGGTTTCACAGAGGCCTGCTAAAGCTACCCCAAAAAGCTGTGTGATCTTTGGAAAGTCACATCCCCTGGCACTGAGTTCATACCTGGTAAAGAAAGTGGGCGAATCTGAGTTACCTACAGAGCCTTCTAGCCTAAGACTGCATGCCATGGTCTTTCTCTACAGCAGGGCAGGACAGAGGTTTTCGCCTTGGGCTTTGTGAGTAGGGCGAGTATCACATACTGATTAAGGTCAGGAAGGAAATACTTTCTCATCTCTCCACTGCATAGAAATGCAAAAGTTTAATTCTAGAGTTTCCTGCTCTAGGTTTCATTATCTGTAAAGGGGGTGGGATCAGATGAAAATCCTGTTCAAACATGGAAGATTGCATATTCAAAAGAGATGGCCCAAGACTCAAAGGAAGGGAAGGGAAGGGAAAGAAGGAGAGGGGAGGGGAGGGAGAGAAGGGGAAGGAAGGGAGGGAGGGACAGCCACCAACCAGTAGTCACTGCCTTTCCCTCCCATGAAACTCGAAGGTATTTTAAGATAAAGGACAACCTCTGTGTCTCCACCCGGGTGTTCTACTTTTGCCTTTGAAGAGGGTGTGGCTTTGCTCACACTGGTTTTTAGTCAAGGGAAGGATTAGATTTGTCAGTTTTGAAGACTGCACACACAGAGGGAAACTGAGGACATTCTGGAGCCCCATCTCATTTTCTCAAGTGATCTGTGATTGTTTTTATTATTATTAGACAGGGTAATCCCAAACAAGTGAATCTTTCCTCCTTCCTTCCTTTTTCCTTATTTGCTTGTTTGTTTGTTCGTTTGTTCATTCATTCATTCTGGAGACAGAGTTTCTCTGTGTATCCCTGACTGGCCTTGAATTCAGAGAGTCACCTGCCTCTGCTTCCAGAGTGCTGGAATCAAAGTATGAGTCACCACTGCCAGCTCCAAGTGAAAATTCTAAGTTGACTGTTTTGTGCCATTAAAGTATATCATGTTGGGCTGGAGAAATAGCTCAGCAGTTGTTGGACATCCAGAGGATTGGAGTTTGGGTTACCAGTAAGCACACTGGATAAATCACAACTCCAGCTCCAGAGGAGTTGATATCCTCTTCTATTCTCTTTGGGTACCCCCCACACAATGGCATATATGCACACACAGATACATAACAAAAATAAACTAAATCATGTCTACCTATATGAATTTAATATATAGATATCATGTTGGGACGGAGACATTGCTCCATGGTTAAGAGCACTTACTGCTCTTCCAGAGGACCTGAGTTCAGTTTCCAGCACCCACGTCAGGCAATTCATAACCACATGTTAACTCCAGGATCTGATACTATCTTCTGGTTCCCTCAGGTACCTGCATATCACACACACACACACACACACACACACACACACACAGAAACAATGCTTATATATTCTGTTCCTAATTCAAGTTAAGTTTTAGGAATTTGATTCTGTCTTAGGTGTCAACACACCTATACATGGGAGGTTGCCTGGTAGCAGGATTCCTATTGGTTTTTGTGTCCTGTTTTGTTTAAATAATTACACACAGAGACAGACCACATGAACATACTCAAATGCATTACTTGTGTGTCCAGTTAAAAACAAGAACCTAAAGCCAGGCAGTAGTGGTACATGCCTTTAATCCCAGTACTCAGGAGGCAGAGGCAGGTGGATCACTGTGAATTTGATGCCAGCCTGGTCTACAAAGTAAGTTCCAGGACAGCAAGAGCTACATAGATAAATCCTGTTTTGAAAAACCGGGTGTGTGTGTGGGGGGGAGGGATTTAAAAACCTAACAAACTTAACTATCAGCAATTTTAATATACTTGCTTCCTGTAACTCCTTGATAAACAGTGGTATAAGGCACCACTACCAAGTCATCATGTGCTAAGGACCAGAAGCAAAGTTTCCGCAGACACTAAAATAGAAGACACTATGGCTCAGACTCTAGTGGTGGCATGAAATCACAGAGGTAAATGATGCATCAGTTAAAATTTTCCATGTGACTCCCAGCTCAGGCTGGACCAAACAGCCATCTCTGATTAGGTAGAGTAGGGGAGAAGTATGACACCTACCTCTTATCTGATTAGATTGTATCAAAGATTAAATGCCACTGCTTTTAAAGTGGACTGCTTCATATGGACTCAATACATCCCATTACTGCAACTATTTCGCGGGCAGTTTGTGGTAAAGGGCCTAGGATAATACAAATCAAGGGATCTAAGACAAGCTGGCAATTTCTAAGATTTTACCACCGACGGGAAGCTAATCAAGAGCCAGGGTGTGTGCGGCAGTCACTGCGGGTTCCAGCCTTTGGTCCAGGTCCCTCACTCCCCAAGCCTGGCAACGCAGAAAAGGAGGCCCAGGTTGGTCTTGCCTATGGTTGTCATGGCAAACGCTCAGGGTTCTCAGAGGGGCTTCACCGGAAGCCCGCACTGAAGAAGCTAAGTGAAAGGTCCCGAGATGGCTCGCTCAGGTCCCTCCGTGACCAAAGAGAAGTATTTGGCACTAAAATGATGTTAAGTAGCGGCCGCGCCCCCTTCCCGAACACTTCCGGGACGCCGCACTTTGACCCGGAGGTGGGTGGGAGAGGAAGTAGCTGGTGATGTTGGAACAAACATGGCCGTCCCGGTGCCCCTCGGCCGCTCTGGCTCCTGCTGTCTACGGCTGCTACCACTGCTGGCGCTGCTGGAGCTGCTGGTCGACCCCTGCTTGGGCCGCGTCCACCACCTGGCGCTCAAAGTAAGGCCTGGCGGGCTGGGGACAGGGACTGGGAGTGGAGACGGGGGCGCGACAGCTGCTCCGGGCAGAGCCAACTTCGGCCCTGCGGGGTCTCTAAGTTCGGCTCCCGAGCTAGGGGTCTGCGCGGACCTGTGGGGACGGACTATGCGGTACGGGTGCCTCGGGTAGTCTGGTCCCTGTATGTTTGGGGTCTTGGGGAAGGGGCTCAGCCGCGGCCTAAAGCCCAAAGGACCTGGGAGGCCGCCCCTGTGGTCTTACTGGCTTCCCTGGGATCCATGCCGGTGGTAATCTCCTTTCCCTACTCACACTTACACAACTTTAATCCCAATTCCTCTGGTCCATGATCTCCGTTTCCGTGCGCCTGCAGCTGGCGCTTTGAAGGTGTGCGGAATCTTAGCCTTTTCCCCTGCTTACTTTAGGGTGCTCGACTGACTGACCAAAGCAAGGATCTACAAAAGGAATTCAAATTTTGCTTGAAATATATGACTTAATTTCTAAAAGAAAAAGAAAAGAAAGAAAGAAAGAAAGACTCTGAGAATTCAAACTCAGCATTCAAAGTGTTTCTAAGTAGTGGGTCTTTTTCTTTCTGTCTCTATGGCCTTTGCCTAAGGAAGATGTTTGTGACAGACCTGGAATGAACACCAGGAACCGCTATGGTAACCTGCAGTTTAAAGTTCTGTAAAGGCTTACCCGGGGTTGTCAGCAAGTTAATATATCTGGGGAACAGATGACATCATTATGACTCAAAGCCTTGTACATTTTCCAAATAATGTTTTAATAAGTTGGTGGGCCTAGTAAAGCACTTTATATTAACCGTGAAGCATCAATGTAGAGTTTAAAGAATACAGACAGACTAGATTTGAAACTTGCCCAGATATGCACAGGCATACTTGTACTGCCGGCTTTTGTTTGTAAATAAAAATGATCTTGAGTAAAGTGACTCTTAACCACAGCAAGACTTGTCAGTCTTGGCTCCTTTTGAAGATCTACTGAGAGCTGTAGGAGTTCTCCCTAGAGAAATGCTTGTTGAAGGCCACACAATTTTCTTGGTCTTCCTGTGGCTTCATAATCCTGGTGCAGCTTATCAATAGTTCCCAACTTGCAGGCAGGTTAATCACTCTGGGGCGAAGAACTCCAGATTTTGAAGTTTACAGATTGTTTTTATTGAGTGCATAATGTGGCTGAGATCATAAAGCTTAGGAAGGAAAAATCAAACTTGTAACTGGACACACTAGGACCATGTCTTCTAATTCCCTGTCCAACATTTCTAGTATTAAAGTGTCAGGCTCCTGGTGTCATCAGGTAAACACTGGCAGTATTTATATGGGCCAACCTTAGTGCCTGGTATATACCAACCTTAAATACCAGCCTTACAGGTAAAAGCAAACCTAGAGTAGTTCTGAGGTTGATTTCCCTCTTGTGCCAACTTATTGTAGTTCTGTGATTGATTCTTTCCTGTGCCAAATGATTTATTTTCCTTTTAATATGTTCCCTAAGCTAATTCTATAATTGGTACTGGAATCTTTTTTTCATAGGCTGTTTAACGATTATCTAAGTAGATGATGTTTTCTGACAGAGGATCTATCAAAGAAGCATGAGATGGTCTTGCTTTTCTTGAAGCTGGGAAGCATAGACTTGATAAGGTTAGAAACCCAGACTTGCAAGAACATGAAGTGATCACCAAATATCAGGGATATGAATGTAAGGAGTACGGTTTTTCCACCCGCCGCCGGTCTTGTCCTGCCGCCACGCCAGCCCCAAATAATGCACAGAGACTCTGTATTTGATATTATGCTGTTGGCCACGTGCTAGTTTCTTATCGGCTAGCTCTGTCTTAAGTATTAACCCATTTCTATGTATTTCCACATGGTCTCCTTACCGGGGAGTGAGGCAGGCGTCTGGTCTCCCCGGTCTCTCCATGCTGACTCCTCCTTACTACTCCTCTTTCCTCCTTGTCTCCTAGTCCCTCCTATCTAGCTTTCCTGTTGGCCAACATTGCTTTATTCATTAACCAGTATGAGAAACATATACAGAATGACATCTCCCATCATATGAATTAGTTTTTTTTTTTTTTTTTTTTTTTTTTAAGATTCCCCTTTTTTTATGTGTATCTCTCTGTGTGTGTACATATGAGAGCAGGTGCCTTGGAACCAGAGTAATACACAGTGTGAGCTGCCCTGTGTGGGTGCTGGGAATCAAACTTGGGTCCCCTTGCAAGAGCCATACATTTTCTTAACTGCTGAGCCATTTCTATAGCATTGATCCTTATAAAAACTTTTTAGCACCAAGAATTTTAAATGCACCAGAGTAGGTACAGTTGTATAATGAAGTCCCATGTACCTGCCCTGTGGCTAATCCTAATCCTGCCCGCTCCTACTTTTTATAGTTTTCTAAATTAGAAAAGAATCTCTTTGTTTTTAATTCACTCTCTGTATTTTCCATCTCTCATTTGTTTTCTTGGTATTTTCACAGTCCTTGTCTTTTGACCTTTCTGCATATTCCTTATTCTTTTTTGTTGTTGTTGTTGTTTTTTGGCCAGGGTTTCTCTGTGTACCCCTGACTGTCCTGGAATGAACTCTGTGGACCAGGCTGGCTTTGAACTCACAGATCCAATCTGCCTGGCTCTGCCTCCCAACACAGGGGTTAAAGGTGTGTGTTGTCATGCATGGCTTATTGTTTAGTTTTTAAAAGCAACTTTTTTGAGGTATAATTTCTCTACATAAAATTCACATGTTAGTTGTTAGATCCTTGTGATTACTCATTATTTACTATAATTGTCACTACTACCCAGCTATAGTACAGTTCTGTCACCTTCCATAGATCTCTTTCTCTCTCTCTCTCCCTCTCTCTCTCTCTTTTCTTCACACATATCATTAGTGTTTATTTCCTGGAACCTAAGGACCTAAGTATCACTGTCTTGGTATAAAGGGCAAAGAATCCTTTCCTACAGATCTTTTTCCTACAACTGGATCTGTGAGATTCCAAAGGGGAACTTAGAGCTGCAAACACACCAAAGCAAAACAGAAAAAAGTGGTTGTCAAGCCCCCTTCTCTGATGAAAAGTTATGTTACTGATTTTGTTCCTTTGTTTTTCCAGATAGGGTTTCTCTATATTGCTTTGGAGCCTGTCCTGGAACTAGCTCTGTAGACCAGGCTAGATTCGAACTCACAGAGAGCCACTTGACTCTGCCTCCTGAGTGCTGGGACTAAATGTGTACACCACCAACGCCCAGCCCCCCCCAAAAAAATAAATAAATAAATTTAAAAAAATATGCTTTTAAAAAATGTAAAAGAGGCTTTAAAAGGGGGCAAAGAATAATTTTCCAACATAGATGACTGGCTGGAGAGATGAGAGGTGAGTCCCTGTCCATGTGGGGCTGTTCACCTGGGGGCAGTGCCTGTGTCAAGCCCTGCCTAGCTGAATAAATAATGTCCTGGCTACTATGAGGAGGTGGAGCCTATGGGTGTGAACAGAGGACTTTGCTGGAGTAGGGGCCGCAATGCCTGTCCTTCTGCCCCCCCAAATGCCAGCTCTCCTGTGTCTCCAGCTAGTTTCTGCATGCTCACAGCCTGAGTCACCCTGGATGTCAGGGACTGCATTCTGAAGGCCTGTCTGGTCACGGGAAATGAAGTCCAAGTAGGAGGACTTGACCTCCATCATATTTGTGGTATTGCTCCTAAGGCCTAATTTAATTTCTTTTTTTCCTGCTTGCATCTCTTCAGATTTTTCACTCTTGATTAATCAATGTGGAAAGTCTGCTAACTTGTTGCCTCTGGGAGCGTTCCACAGATCTTTTGCTGACTTATAAATCTCCTTTTTACCCCAAGCAACTACACTTTCACTTTGTGTTTTCATAGAGTTGTCCTTGCCAGATATTTCATGAAAAATGGAATCACACGGCAGGTCAGCTTTTGTCCCTGGCTTCTTATACTTAGATTCATCCATGTTGTGCTATGGCTCAATTCATCTCTTGTGGTGTGTGTGTGTGTGTGTGTGTGTGTGTGTGTGTGTGTGTACCTTGAGATGATTGTGTAGAAGTCAGAGGACAGACTTGGATTTTTTTTTACCTCTCATCTTGTATGAGGCAGGGAATTTATTCACTATTATATCTGTCAGCTTAGTTTGCAAGTTTCTGGGAATACTCCTCTCTCCTCCTCTCATAGGCATACATGTTGGAATTATACATGAGTGCTACGTCTGGCTTTAGGTGGGTCCATGGGATCTGAATTAAGATCCTTGTGCTTGTATGACAAGCATTTATCCAGTAAGCCATCTCTCTAACCCGATCAGTAATTTGATGTTATTTATTGTTGAATACTACCCACTCTGTAAGTGATCACCTTTTGTCCAGTACAACTGGCCACTGTTTTCCTGCCTCAGTCTTCCCAGTGCTAGGATTACAGACATGTGTGCCACATGCCCATCTCTATATGATGAATAGTCCTGTCATTATCATTCACTTGCAAGTTTATGAAACTGTCTTTGTTTTTCTTGGTTGACACCCAGGACTAGAGTGAAATTGCCAGGTTATACGGTAGGGTTGGGTTTAATTTTTAAGAAAGTGCCACATCAGCTGAGCATGGTGTCACACACCTTTAATCCTAGCACTCAGGAGGAAAAGGCAGGCAGATCAGTCTGTTTGAGGCCAGCCTGGTCTACAAAGCAAATTCCAGGACAGCCAGGACTGTTGTTATACTGTCTCAGAAAAAGAAAAGAAATGGAGGGAGGGAGGGAGGGAAGGAAGGAGGGAGAGGATGAAGGAAGGAAAGTACCACACTATATTCTCCAAGGGGCTAGCTTGTTTTACATCTGACCAACAATGTGTGAAGGTTCCCCTTCCCCCACATAGTTGGCAGCATTTGTCATTGTCTTTCCATATTTAGAACAAACCAAAAGTATCATGTTACCCATCTGTAAGTACTCAGTGTATCCCTGGAAAATATAAGGTGCCTTTAAAAACAAAACTCAAAATCCTTAAGAACAAATCTAAATCAGGTCCA